CGGGGCACCGCTGGGGGGAAGTTCACCCCGCTGGACGGCTGGCACGGGCGGGGCACCGCTGGGGGGAAGTTCACCCCGCTGGACGGCTGGCACGGGCGGGGCACCGCTGGGGGGAAGTTCACCCCGCTGGACGGCTGGCACGGGCGGGGCACCGCTGGGGGGAAGTTCACCCCGCTGGACGGCTGGCACGGGCGGGGCACCGCTGGGGGGAAGTTCACCCCGCTGGACGGCTGGCACGGGCGGGGCACCGCTGGGGGGAAGTTCACCCCGCTGGACGGCTGGCACGGGCGGGGCACCGCTGGGGGGAAGTTCACCCCGCTGGACGGCTGGCACGGGCGGGGCACCGCTGGGGGGAAGTTCACCCCGCTGGACGGCTGGCACGGGCGGGGCACCGCTGGGGGGAAGTTCACCCCGCTGGACGGCTGGCACGGGCGGGGCACCGCTGGGGGGAAGTTCACCCCGCTGGACGGCTGGCACGGGCGGGGCACCGCTGGGGGGAAGTTCACCCCGCTGGACGGCTGGCACGGGCGGGGCACCGCTGGGGGGAAGTTCACCCCGCTGGACGGCTGGCACGGGCGGGGCACCGCTGGGGGGAAGTTCACCCCGCTGGACGGCTGGCACGGGCGGGGCACCGCTGGGGGGAAGTTCACCCCGCTGGACGGCTGGCACGGGCGGGGCACCGCTGGGGGGAAGTTCACCCCGCTGGACGGCTGGCACGGGCGGGGCACCGCTGGGGGGAAGTTCACCCCGCTGGACGGCTGGCACGGGCGGGGCACCGCTGGGGGGAAGTTCACCCCACTGGACGGCTGGCACAGGTGGGGCACCGCTGGGGGGAAGTTCACCCCGCTGGACGGCTGGCACGGGCGGGGCACCGCTGGGGGGAAGTTCACCCCGCTGGACGGCTGGCACGGGCGGGGCACCGCTGGGGGGAAGTTCACCCCGCTGGACGGCTGGCACGGGCGGGGCACCGCTGGGGGGAAGTTCACCCCGCTGGACGGCTGGCACGGGCGGGGCACCGCTGGGGGGAACGGGCTGGGCAGCTGGAGGAATCTGAGCCTGGGGTGAAACGTAACAGCGCCAAGTCATGCCCGTCAGGACCAGCCGGAAGGCGTTTTCCATAAGACGGGGACTCACCAGCGGCAGAGGAGGAGAAGACGTGTGTCGATCCCAGGCCGGCTATGTGATGTGGCCTGGGAAAAGTCAGCTGCAGTCCAGGGAGGCGAGCCAGCTCCCGTAGATACCAGGTTGGTGCAGGCACTCGGCAGATCTCTGGAATACTCTGTGCAGGTCTGATCTTCTGTGTCCGCTAAAGAGAAACTCAGGCCAGGCCAGGGGCAGAGCAGAGCGAGCTGTTTCACGATTGAACTAGATAAGTTACAGGGGGTGGGGATACAGCGAGGCCCCTCTATGCCTCTATTAGACAATATCTCCAGGCTGGAGAGGGGACACCGTGCGGGGCGAGGCTCCGAATTACTAGAGAGTCCTTGCTCAGGGATCAGAAGGGGGAAGGGGTCATACCCACAAGCTGAGGGTCAAACGTGGCCAGATTTGGGGCCAGGAAGGACTTTTCCCCTAGGTCAGGTTGGCAGAGCGCATGGGGCTTTGAGGGGATCTTGGGGTGGGGGCGGGCGAGGGGTTTGCCTTCTGTCCCGGCATGGGGCATGGGTCCCTGGCAGATTGAAGCCAGTGGAAATGGTGACGTCTTTAAATCAAAATGGGAGGACTAGACGCTATGGACCAGCTGCAGGGGTGGGCGGGGGAGGATCTGGCTCTCCCCTTTGATTGGCCGCACTGAGAAATTTGGCCCTTGGCTCTCCCCTTTGATTGGCCGCACTGAGAAATTTGGCTCTTGGCTCTCCCCTGCGATTGGCCGCACTGAGAAATTTGGCCCTTGGCTCTCCCCTTTGATTGGCCGCACTGAGAAATTTGGCTCTTGGCTCTCCCCTGTGATTGGCCGCACTGAGAAATTTGGCCCTTGGCTCTCCCCTTTGATTGGCCGCACTGAGAGTTTTGGCCCTTGGCTCTCCCCTTTGATTGGCCGCACTGAGAAATTTGGCCCTTGGCTCTCCCCTTTGATTGGCCGCACTGAGAAATTTGGCCCTTGGCTCTCCCCTTTGATTGGCCGCACTGAGAGTTTTGGCCCTTGGCTCTCCCCTTTGATTGGCCGCACTGAGAGTTTTGGCCCTTGGCTCTCCCCTTTGATTGGCCGCACTGAGAGTTTTGGCCCTTGGCTCTCCCCTTTGATTGGTCGCACTGAGAGTTTTGGCCCTTGGCTCTCCCCTTTGATTGGTCGCACTGAGAGTTTTGGCCCTTGGCTCTCCCCTTTGATTGGTCGCACTGAGAGTTTTGGCCCTTGGCTCTCCCCTTCGATTGGCCGCACTGAGAAATTTGGCCCTTGGCTCTCCCCTTCGATTGGCCGCACTGAGAGTTTTGGCCCTTGGCTCTCCCCTTCGATTGGCCGCACTGAGAGTTTTGGCCCTTGGCTCTCCCCTTTGATTGGTCGCACTGAGAGTTTTGGCCCTTGGCTCTCCCCTT